GGTCTTCTCGCTTCTTTGACTTTACCACCACATCATCAACATAGCACTCGATGTTCTTGTGGAGTATGTCATCAAATATCTTTTGCATTACCCTTTGATATGTAGCTCCAGCGTTCTTCAAGCCGAATGGCATCACCTTGTAGCAGTATATACCCTTTGGAGTGCGGAATGCCGTCAACTCTTCGTCTTTTGGCGACATGCGTATTTGATTGTATCCCGATGACCCATCCATAAAAGACAACGCTTCATGTCCAGTTGTAGCATCGATCATAAGTTCAGTTATCGGCAAAAGGAAGTCATCCTTAGGACACGCCTCGTTAAGGTTTCGAAAATCCACGCGAACTCGAATTTGACCATTTTTCTCCTGACAGGAACGATGCTCGAGATCACGTAGAATACTTGACTTCTCGAATGAAACCAACTTCAATGAGTTTATTCACTTCAGCTTCAATCAACGGGATCAACTCGGGACGAAATCTCCATTGTGCTTGTTTAATAGGTCTTGCCCCTTTCTCACGGACAAATTATGCACTGCCACCTTCGGGTCTAGTCCAGGCATCTCTTTATACGACCATGCAAACACATCTTTAAACTCAACAAGAAGCTCTATGTAGGCCTTTTCTTCATGTACAGTTAACAAGGCGCTAATGTATGTTGGGAGAGGATCATCAGCATCACCCAAGTTGATTTCTTTTAGTTCATCGACCGTGGCCTTAACACCTTCTTCAAGCTCGGGAGGTGCGTCTTCATCATCTTCCTCTTCTATCAGAATATCCTCACATATAATGATGTGGTTCACAAGTGCAATATCCTCACTCGACTCACCAGGAATTTTGAAGTCAATACATGCTCTCGCCCGTCCATTTCTTCTCGTGACAAGTCGTGTCTGCACATTTTTATCAACTCCAGCGATATACCATGTTCTTGCCAAATAAGCTATCTTTCGGTAGATAGAACGTTCATCATCGCGAGGAGTCGTAAGAGTACCGCAAGAATAGTAAGACGAAGCGACACTTTCTCTATCATCATCTTCATCGTCCTGCACTCTTGTATCAACGATCGTGTGCTCAAAATCTTCCCCACATGATATGATTAAGGTGGTTTGACATTTCATGCGTGATGGAATTCGACTTCTAAGCTTTGGAGCCGGCTCGCGCCTCTTTCTTGTCTTAAAGGCTTTGATGGTTTAGATGATCTAAGTCGCATAAACACAGATTGTTTACCCCTAGACTTCTGAACTGGACCGAGTCTTTGAAACACCGATACTCTTTTCCCTTTCTTTTCTCCGTCATTGGATGGGAACTCTTCTTCCGAGACATGGTTGGTGTTTGCTCTCTTGATGGCGATTCTAATTGGATTCAGTGCCACATATCCAACACCTGCCCGATTGTGCTTTTGCTCTTGAGGTATGAGATTTCCCAAAGGGTGACTTTCATTGGGGTTGTATCCTGCTTTGACGAGAAGTTTGTAGGCTTTTGGATCAAAACACTTCGAGTTCTTCAGTCCTTCGCCATGCTCCGTCACCGCTCCTTTGCTGGGACGAACAAACTTCATGGGTGGTTGGGAAATTGGTTTCTCATCATTTATCTTCGACAGTGGCAGCATTAACTCTTTCGAAGAGTTGTCTACTTTTTCAATCTTTGGTTCTTCACCTTTGGATCCTTTTTGCTGCTTAGATGGGACTTTATCAACCGATTTTTCATCTTTAAAATAGTATTTGGCATCAGCAAAGTGAGTTTCAGCCTCCGTAAAAGGTTTATTATCACCAAGCACGGTATTCACAACGCCATTTTTGCAATATTTGAAGCATTGATGTCATGTTGACGGAACCACGCCATTCTCATGAAGCCATGGACGACCAAGAAGCATGTTGTAAGAAGTCTTAGCGTTGATAACATGGAACATTGCAGCTGACTCGATATCTTCCATCAGCAACCTCAACCTTATGATGCCAAGAGCTCTTTGCCCCNCTCTTGGTTAAAGCCTTGAATCATCAATCGACTATTACTAAGTTCTTCGGTAGTCATTCCTAACTCTTTCAGCGTACGGAGAGGCAAAATGTTGACTGTTGATCCTCCATCAATCAATATTCGATTAACCTTTTGCTCTTGCACATAGCCAGCCACGAACAAGGGTCTATTGTGAGGCTTAGAACCAAGCAGCAGATCTTCATCAGTATAGACCATCATGGAATCACGACCAACATGGTGATTTTCAACCTCAAGCGGATTGTTTTCTTCTAGCGGAGCTTCGTGCTCATTTGTCATGTTGCATGCTTCACTTATATGATTAGCAGTTGCACTACTTTCTTCAAGTGAGATTTTTCCTTGGCGAGTCAACTGCATAACCTTGTCCTTGAATACGAAGCAGTCATGAATTGGATGCCCTACAAGACGGTGGTATTTGCAATATTTTGGGTCGTTCACTCTGTCGGCTTCTTCAGGACGCTTCATCTCAGGAAATTCAATGAGTTTCGCGTCGATCAAATTGTCAAATATGCCAGAGATGTCTGAATCAAGGGACGGGTACTGCTTTGCTTGCATTTCTTTCAAAGTCAATCTTTGTTGTTCGGTTTCCTTGGGGACATCCTTCTTTTCAACGACTTTATCAACATCTTTTCCTTTGAACTTAACAGGCATAGCATTGATCGTCATGGACTCTTTATTATGAGATTTTGAGGAAAACTTGCCCCCTTTTCTTTGCTCGTATCTATCCTTAGAGCTTTGGGGTTCTTGGATCGGTGGCCCATTAGCTCCGCTTGCGGCCATGCTTAGTTCCATGTCGTGGGCTCGAGTCGCTAGCTCTTCGAATGTTCTCGGTCGAATGCCTTGAAGGATGTAACGAAGACCCCAACTCATACCTTGAATGCACATCTCAATGGCAGAAGCCTCGGACAGACGATCCTTGCAGTTCAAACTTAAGTTCCTCCACCTATTGATGTAGTCGATGACTGGCTTCTCCTTCCATTGTCGAGATGTAGTGAGCTCGATCATGCTGACTGTACGTCTAGTGCTATAGAAGCGACTAAGAAATTTCATGTTCCATTTACTCCCAACTATCAATAGAGTTTGCTTAGAAATCAGTGTACCAGTCGAGAGCGACCCCTTTGAGTGAACGAACAAACTGCTTCATGAGATAATCACCATGGGTTCCTGCATCGTTGCATGTCCCAGTAAAGTGGACTATATGCTCCTTCGGGTTACCCTTGCCATCAAACAGTTGGAACTTGGGAGGTTGATATCCAACAAGCATTCTCAAGTTATCGATCCTTGGCGTATATGGCTTGGCGTAGGTTTGAGTTGACTTAGAACCACCATCAAGCTTATCTTTAATTGTCCCCATGATGAAATCCTTCGGTTGATCAATGGGGATCATTCCATCATACGAATGTTGAAATGTTGGAGTCTTCTCTCTTTCGTGAAATTGTTGCTATTTGGAAGTTTCAGACTCATCACGATCTTCATCTTGTTTGTCCTTCATGCGGCTCATTTCAGCATTGTCAACCTTGTCCATCAGCTTTAAGATTTGAGAGTCTTGCCCTTGGACCTTCTTTGCGAGCCCTTCAATGACCTTTGTCAAACTTGCGATATGTTCTTCAAGTGTTGAAGCATTAGTTGTCATAACTGGGGCAACACTTGAGCTTGAATTTGATGAAGAGCTTGATGATGAGCGGGGAGTTGAGGAAGCGGAGTCGTCTTCATCACTTTCGTGGGTAAGATGCAGCTTGTCACTTCCGATCACCTCGTGCAAAGGAGTCGTTTCCGAAGATGCTTGCAGTTGCTTGGCCATGCTTCTTGTAACGACGCCGAGGTTGGAGCTTGAAGAACTTGTTGAAGGAATTTTGACTACGGCGATCTTGCGACTAGTCATGACGATTTTGTGAAGAAGAGATGAGAGGTAGAGATGTCCCACCGGGCGTGCCAAAAATTTGTAACAACAAGTTTTGTGTATGAATTTATAAACACGAAAAATATTATTTAAATAAATTTCTCGAATCAAAATAAATATAGCGGGTTACAATCTCTATTATTCATCTGATTCTTCTCATGAACAATTTTAAGTCTTGGAGCAAAATCTTCGACTTGATCTTCTCCTTGACTTGATTTGACTTGAAATAACGTTAATCCGAGGGCCAACGCCTTGATTTCGGATCAAACATCGAAATATCCCAAGAATGCGAAGAGCACGAATCCTTGGTCTTCGTCGCAAAGTAGATCTTGAATCTTCTCCACGCCGGTTTTGAATTTACTAACGTTATTCGGAGGCTTTGCAGCTTGTTTCCGGATTGAACGCCATTCTTGAGGTTGAACGCGCTTGAATCTTGCTTCGAATCTTCAAGAACGCCTTTGAATATTCAAGAACACTCGAATCTCGTCGAGAGAATTCTCTAGAGCTCTTGAATTTGAATATGAATTATGAGGTGTCTTTTTGACATTAGGGAGAGCCCCTATTTATAGGTGTAGGAGGGAGAACCCTACCAAATTTAAGAATCGTAGGACGCGATTTGATTTGTCCATGATGATTCACATAAGATCTTGTAGATCTACCTAGATCTCCCAAGATCTTCTAGAAGACATATGATTTATTACCAAGAATTAAGATTTGACACTTGGCATTATTTGATTGCTCAAGAATTAAAATATTAAAATATCAATTAATTAATTATTTAAATATAAGAATTAAATTCATGGAAATTCCTAAAATATAAATAGAAAATATGACTTGATTTTTAATAAATTAATTTCCACGTGGCGCCATTTGATTGACCACAAATTTTATGTCTCTACATTGTGTTCCTCTGATTCTGAAAGAATTCTCCATGACCTTACCTTAGCTTTGTAAGATTTTATTTTTATTTCTTTGTGTCTCTCTCTTGACTGTTATTTTGTCAATGCGTTTGGTTTGTCTCATAGTTGTGTGTACGCGAAAAAGTTGTTATTATTGCGTCTTTCTGCGTATCATTAATTTATGATATTCATTTCATTTTATCTTTCTCCAAGAATCAACCGAATGTCTTCAAGAAGGTTGATGCTAATGTTCACCAGTTGAAAGGCAGCAATTCCAGGTAAGAACCTTGTCTTCCTTTTTTGCTTGTCCCTGTTTGTTTTACGTGTAAAAAACAAATATGACACAGATATTGTACTCAATATGTATATTTGTTTTAGTTTGAATGAATAGCAGCCACCGGAAAAACTATAATGCTACTCTAACAAAGGACCTCATGTGACATCGATATTTAATCTAATTTGTCGAACTATATAGGTATTTTATCTTTCACTTCTGGATCTGGTTAATGATCAAGTGAAAATTCATTTATGTTAAGCAGATCTCTTCAAAATATCATCTTTTTGTACAATAGAATAATTTCTTTTTTATTTTTTTTATGACATCATTGGGGCTCAGAAAGTAAAAAAATACATGTATTGCTTTTAGGAACTTCTGTGAAGAGCAAAATGTTAACGCATAAGAGTTCCGTATTCTTTTCCTCTTTTCTATTATGGTTCCAACAGATTGAGAACTTTAAAATCAAGATAACTGAAAAACATTTCTGTTTGATTATGTAAATTTATAAATCTTTCACGGTTTTGATATATCGAGGTTTAGGTGACGTGGTTGTTTGGAACAAGTTAAGAAAAAGTATTTGCTAGTCAAGGCCAAGTTGGAGACGCTATTTCGTGTATGTATTTGAGGTCATCTGTATACCAAGTCGTGAGAATGGTATGTATACAAGTGTCTTATGTTACTGAATTATTATTTAATAACTTGGGTAAATCATCTGATCATAATAAACCAACCATCTCCTGGAACATGAAAATCGAAATCAATTGGATGCACGAAATTTAGTCTAATTACTGTAGAGGTTTATTTTCTTTTCAAGATAATATAAATTGACCCTACCTTATGTATGTTTGTCTGTGTTTTTCATTTTATTTTTTTTTAAAAGATAAACATTAACCATGAAGAGTAAGGACCAAGAACAAGAACCTCAAGGAGGTGAATCTGGCAACTCCTATAAGAGACACACAAAAAAAGGTACAACAAACACATGTAAAAGGTAGAGAAGTCAAAATTTCTTGAAAGTAGTTATTTTTAATGAACTCAAGATGATAACTTTTGAATATAGAAGAGCTAATTATTGATTTTTTAAGGATCCTCATTCCAGTAGTCTTTGCTCACAACATGCTTCAACTGAAATTGGTAAAACCAAACCAAAAGCAGAAAAAGGTGCGTACGATATTTCTGGCACCTTATTACTATTTCTTTTATTGAAAATTAAAAACATGTTATCAAGTGACCTTCCTGTAGGAACTATGGCATCTTTTCTTGATGCCATTTTCATCTATCTCAATATTTTCCTCTGCTCTTCTTCACAGAAAAGCTTCCGGTTTTAGCCGATTGCTCCTTAGCACCAAGTCGATTCGCAAAAGTATCGTAAAAAGCTAGTGGGTTCACCTTTTCCAATACCCTCACTGTATTATCTTTGTTTTGATCACTAATCATCCATCCATCTTCAGATTCGTTACCTGTTGACAAAACTTTAACTTTCTTAAGTGAATAACTTGTCGTTTTGAGAAACGAATCATGACCAGCTAAGATTGCCGATCCAAGAATTTCCCCAACGAACATGTCCTGCATTGCAAAAAATAAAAAAAAAAAAATGTCTTATACTTCAAAGTTTCAATGGGTCAGAGGCAAAAAAATAAAAATAAAAATAAAAAATACACATGGCTTGAAAGTGAATACAGAGCATACTTACAATGTCTTTGTAGCTATGATGAACCTTATTTAACCAATCCAATGTGGAGAGAAAATTCGTGACAAATACAGCCTCTGGAGTAGTTTTTGTTTTGAGAGCTGAGAGGGCCATACTGAATTGGCGGACCCCACGTTGGACATCTAGAGGGATGAGGGTGATGTTGAGGTTCGAGTCGAAAACTGTCTTTGCAGCCAAAGGATCAAGAAACATGTTGAGCTCTGCATATTTGTTCGAGGGAATGTTTTTCACATCTCCTCCATCATCTATATTTTGGCTGATATGTCCTCCAACTACAATAACTTCCTGTGGGAATGTGAAAAATGAACAAAACAAAAAAAAATTGACAAATCCTTCGATAAACAACACATCACTAAGTGAAGGAAAAATTGCATTTTTAATTCTCATGTTTTAACGCCATAGCAGTTATAGTCCCAAGGTTCCAATATTTTGCTTTTATGTCTTGTGATTTAATATTTTGCTGCATACATTCCCAAATTTCCATATTTTTTATTAGCAATTTAAGTTCTGTAATTTAAAATTTTGTTGCAATTTCAGTCCTCAAAGGACTCAAATTGCAGTAAAATATTAAATCACAGGACCAAAAAATGAAAAGTTGGAATCTTGGGACTGAAATTGCTATGACGTTAAACCAACATGACTAAAAATACATTTTTTGTCCTAAGTGAAAAATTAGTCACACACCTGAATCTGAGATGTAGACTTCTTATTCGGACAAAGAATTTGCGCAAGACTTGTCAATGGCCCGTTTGTCAAGACGGTAACTTTAGATGTGGAGCCCAGTGATTTGATAACCAAATCCCACACCTCTAAAGCCAGTGGTTGCCTAAGTTCTGGGTGTTCAGTGTCTTGAGGAGCACCATATCTCACCGAATTCTCTGATGTGTACCTATACACCGCATCATTTACACTAATTATTGAAATATATATATATATATATATATATATGGAAAAAACATCCAATACTTTTTCTGTGTTAGAAAAAAATGTAGATTGGGAACCTTCGAGGGCTTCGAGGCAAATCATGTCCGAAGCCGTATAATGTGTCTGAGTCGAGAAAGCCTCCTGCGCCTTTTGGGATGGCTTTTCTATACCTGCAGCTTCCAATGGATTTGAAGTTGGGATAAGTCTGATTAGTTGCATATGTATTTCCAAGGCCAACAAGGATATCATCCCGTTGCATAATGTGTAGCAAATCATAGATAATGTCGATTGTTGCTGCATTTGCCCATCCAGTAGGAGTCACTAGTATTGCCTGTGTTGCCCCATCACAAAATGCAAGTGAAAAACAAAATGGTTTAGAAAATTTAAATAAATAAATAAATAAAATGGAAGATTGGTTTTACCTTGAGATGTATTACTTCGACAGGTACTTTGAGGAGATAAATGAGGGCCAAAAAATCTCCAGGACTCATATCCATGTCAAAAACAACAGCCTTTCCAAGTTTTCTTTCCACAAAATCTGGCAAATTGGCGACTTGTCTGTAGTGAGGAAACTGTGTTGTGAAGTTGTACTTTCCTCTTTGTTGTGGTTGGTTTATGACCTGATTAAATACAAAATGTGTTTATGTAAAGTAATATATTTGTTTTGGTTTTCACATGCACAAATTGTGAAAAATATCGGTGTATGGGGTTTGTTGGGTAGTGAAATACACAAACATATCAATTACGATCTGGAGAATTACGACTACATTGATCATCAAAATCGAATGTACAAAATTTACGAAGAATTTAATGCGATTTTTCACACGGGTAAAATAGGATAATTTGACTCACATCAAGAAAGTTTTGGTAGAAAGCTTTGTCTAATCTACTATTCTTCTCAGGATTAGGCTTTGCTCTTAGAGCAACAAGAACACGCACTCCTTCTTTACCAGTTACTTCTTGTGTAGATCCGTCCTGGGTATGTACAGATGCTGAATTAATTAGAATTAAAAAAAAAAACAAGAGTACTGAACAAAAAAAATTATAATGTAAAATAAATAGCAATTAATTAATTATAACCATGCACCCATTACGGGGAATGCACAAAGGATCTCCTAATCCATTCCAAACATGGCCACTATGAACGCATTTTCTCTTCAAGTTGAACTTGGGTTTGTTACAGTCAATAAATAAGGGGTTTGATAAATCATTGCATATCCCATAGGGCTTGTTGGAAGTGATGACCGTGATATTCTTAAACTCCATGTCAGCAAATTCATTTTCCCCGTTTATGTTGTTTTTTTTGGACATGATTGAAGTAGCCACGCCAGCTAAAAATGAATCCCACATGAAGAAAATCTGCATATATACAGTGTCAACTGTTATTTAAATTTGTTATTTGTTGTTCATTTTTCATTATGTTAAGTGTGATTTTCATTCAAATAATAACTCACGTCGAAGAAATTTGGGCCCCAAGTATCACGCATCATTTTCAAGACCTTGAAACAGTATTGTGCCTCAAAAGTGTGTTGGTTCTTCTCAAATTCTTCCATAAATTGGCTTGAAATGGGGATAGTGTCCGTTGCGCCAAGTGGGACAAGAGTTATCGAAATCCTAGAGTGTAATACCTAAAACAAGTGCTTCATCAATTAATTAAGGCTTCACAACTTAATGTCCCAATTTTTGTTGCACACAATTAAAGTATTGCCAACACTTTTTTTTTTTTTTTTCTACTATTGGTGCTTTGAGTAAAATACACTATCAAAATTACATTATTTTGTATTCTTTGCATTATTTTATTTTAGAAAGTGAAAATTATATGGAGGAATCAAACTCTATGCTCATGGATTAAACTACATTAACATTATTTAGTGACGTAAAACATGACCAAAATGATGTGTAAGTTTAATAGCTGCTGATTTTAAAGTTGATGTAATGAATAAAGTAACACGATCTTGACAAGTGACAAACTTTATGCAATCTCTTGTGTCACTGTGGCATGATCCATGCTACATAATGACATAGGATAACAAATAAATTATTCATGCCATCAAATACAATTATATAGAAGTGAATGTTGTATATATATATATATATATATATATAGGGGTTGGTTCAAATAAAAACTAGTCCTGGTGTGAGAACCGTTTTTTATGCTATTTTTAATTGTGTATGATGCTGTTTTTCATATTAGATGATGCTATCATTTTTACAAGTGCTACTAGAAATTGTGTTACTGTTTTTAATAAAATTCATCCTAGTTAAATATATCATCAAACACAATCAATCATAGCACTAAGCCTAAATAAAATTAGCGGTTCTCATGGTTCTCACACTAAGACTTGGTTCTCATTTGAACCACATCCTATATATATATATAATTGCTAGCTAAACATTAAATTATACCTCATAAACTTTACCTACGTGACAACTTTCCTAACACAAATTAAAAACCGCTACAATCCATTATTATTATTTGGTCATGATCCCTTAAAATTAAAATAAATTACATTTTATGTATTACATTTTGCAATCATATAGTGATTTATATGCAATCAATCGTTATGCACTATTTATTTTAACCAATGATGAAATTTTAAATTTTAACACCCTTATCTAACCTATAATTTTATATTATATGCATAAATATAACTTATCATACTCTATGTTTAAAATATAATACCACTATCTAAATTATAATTTTAATATTATATACATACAAATAACTTATAATACTTTATTTACATCTGTGCAAATGGACAGAGTCGAAAACTAGTTGAGAATAAATTTATTGTTTTTAGTCCTATTATTAGCTTGCTTGTTAACATGGCTGGTACTTAGGTAGGGCGGACCAGGCGACCGTCCAGGGCCCCCACTTACCTCAGGGCCCATATATATAGTATAAAATTAGTTTTATTAGTCACTTTTTTTCTTGATTTTTTACTTAAGTTTTATTAATTATTTTTTGTCACTTGACAAATTTCATGAATAATTATTAGCAGTAATATATATGTTTTCATATATTTTTCTCTTTTTCTTTTATTCATTTTTTAAAATATATTTTCTTGTTTGAATATACAAAATGTCTATTTTGTGACCGCGCAATTCAACAATGTTACTAATAGTTATTAAAAGAGTCAATCAAAATCAACTCAATTTCAGACGTGTTCTAATTTATCGTTGTTATTCAATTTTCTTAAATATCAAAACTAGTAATTTATTACCCTCCACACACAAAAATATCAAATAAATTGTTATTGAATATTATATCCTCCAATAATCAAGATATATATTCAAGTCAAGGAAAACTTTAAAATTTTAAAGTTTTTTATTTTTAAGAAAAAAAAAAAAGATCTTCCCCCTCCTTTTTCCTTTCATTGATGAGTTTTAAGATATTACTGAATATTTTTTTATATAAATTAATTTTAATTAAATTTTAAATTCCACAGCTTTTATTATAGTTAGTAACATATACATTTCGTTTTCATGAATTTATTTTTTTCTAAGAAAAAAAAAAAACAACCAAAATAAAACATTTACCACATTTCACTCATGGTGTTATACAGTTTAGAACCGGTTCTACTTGTTAAAGGTGTTTTATTTATGTTTGGATTAAAAATTTGTACCCACCGCCAAATATTGTTATACCTGGTACGAAGCAAAAGGGTCGGTAAAAAAGTTGTACTCCGAAGATGGAGCGGTTTTGTCAGCCGTGTATACATTGCCACTAGGGCATGATGATGTGTAACTTGTGGGGCAATTTATGCGCCTGGGGCTCAAACTGCCACCCAAGATGTATATATGCTCTATATTTTTCTTCAAATGTGGATTGGACATTAGGAAAATTGCCAAATTGGTACTTGAACCAACGCTTAATATTGTAGTTTGACCAGCAGATATTGTGTCCACCATTACTTGTTGGGTTGTGGGCTGACGCAAAGGGAAATATTTCCTGCTGCCCTGTATTTAAAAGTTGGGATTTTTTTTTTATTATTTTAATAAAAGATAGAGAATTGTTGAAAAATGAAATTTCTCATTTAGATGTTACAACCTATAGGCTGTGTTTGAAAGGGAAAAGAAAAAAATAAAGGAAGTAGATGAGGTTTGTGGTAGTCAGTTTGTCATTTTCGTCCAATAATTTAATCGGATCTGAAATTAGTCAAAAAACTCTTAAATTTTAGCTAATTTAGTTATATTTTGGCCCCGATAGCCAGATTAGATCAAAAGTTACTGAGTTGACAAATTTCGGCCTTGACTAGACTGATGTGGACTAATTTCCGATATATTAAGTGATGTGGCCACTTTTTTCCACGCCATTTTCCCTTAAATTAATTAAAAAATTCACCCCCCATTTGCAGTAGTACACTACTAAACTGAAAATTAGTTTTTCATAAGCAATTGCTGCGATATACCATGAAAGTATATATGCGTATTCTTGAGCATTACTGCAAAATGTACAACAATGCATATATAACTCATCAACTATAAAAATGTACAATATATACCTGAGGTAGAAAACCTTTTGTGTAGCCATATTTTGTGTCGATGTCTAATCTTCCGTGAAGGCCTAATGGAATAACTTGACTATATCTGCAATTTCCGGCTGTGGAATTGCCCTGATCAGATTCATCATAACAAAGAACCAAAATAGCATTACATTATACACTATATTTGGTCATAATAGTCACCAATCTCATATGCTTAGTCAAATACTCCAATTATAAGATAATGCCCCTTTTAGAAACTGGGC